TGGATGAATATTTAATTTTATTTTTCAATAAAGTAAAATTTTTAATTTGATGGTTCTACAAAAATTTCTTCATTTTTGGAAAGAATGTGTCAGAGAAAGTCATAAAAATGGCTTATTTTAAATAATTTAATTTTATTTTATCCCGTTGGAGGGATTGACTTCTCGAACAGATGAACAGACGGATGTCTGTTAAAGAGTGCAAAAAAATGTTTGACAATCAATACATCAGAAAAAAATATGGGTTTAGATTCAAAAAATTTGTAATGATACGAATGAAATTATGAAATTGAGTATTTGGTGTCTTTAGACATCAATATTACCTTGTGGACATATATTAAATTTTATTTTTTAATAAAATGAAATTTTCAATTTGATGTTTCTACAAAATATACCTATTTCTCCATTTTTCAAAAGAATTATTTTAGAGAAAGTCATAAAAATGGCTTACTTTAACTTTGTTTTATTTTATTTCACTAGGGAAATTGATTGCTGGAAGAGATGGATAGCTGTTTAAGTAAAGGAAAGAGTTCAAAAAAAATTTTTCCTATCAATTCACCAGAGAAAATATGGGTTCATATTCAACAAATTTATCATAATATGAAGGAAATAATAAGATTGAGTGTTCGGTGTTTTGAGATATTAATATCTTTTGGATAAATATTTACTTTTATTGTTTAATAAAGTAAAATTTTTAATTTTATGTTTCTATAAAATGACCCATTTCTTCGTTTTTCGAAACAATTTTTTCAGGGAAAGTTATAAAAATGGCTTATTTTAAATAATTTTATTTTATTTTATCACATTGGAGGGATTGATTTCTAGATGAGATGAATGTCTGTTAAAAAGTGCAAAAAAATCTTTGACAATCAATACATCGGAAAATTACAAGCAATAATAGCCTTATTTACAAGCAATAATAAAGTTTTAGCATTGCATTTGTCAATTAAGCTTCATAAATTGCAGTTATCATTGCATTCTTTCAATCAAAAATAAAAATTTCCTTAGAACAATCAAAAACCTAATTAAAATATGGATTTTCCTAATTATTATTCTACTTTCACTGATGAAATCTACACATAATAATTATCCAAATAAAGTAAACAGATAACACGGAAAAACATATTTTAGAACATTTGCCCAATTAAGAAAAATAATGAAGGCTCTATGTATCATTTTTCAAAGATCCTTTATAAATTGACGCCATTTCAAGCTTACTCAATTAGTTCTGGCGATAAAAGCTGCAACTAATTCGCGTTCAATGCGTGTGTAAGTCTTTTCTGTTTGCCAAATGGCTGAATATGCATATCACGAATTGAACCATGAAGGAATAAAGCCCATCACCAGGAAAATCATTCCAGAATCTATTGTGCCAGGGCACAGGGCATAGAAGAGAGCCATTCGGGCAAACACGAGGGTCTCCCCCGAAACCATTAAACTGGTATTCATCGCCTAAAATTATTGTATTGTTGTTTCGCTAAAAAGAAGGACATAAGATAAAAATCAGTTTTACCGGAAAACCTCATTATCCTCCTGAGAGTTCACAATTCCCGCGTTTAATGCATCAAGAAAAGATGGAAAATCCCGGAATATCCAGGATTGGTGGGAAAATGGGAGAGGGGTTACAGTTCAAAAGAATGTTTTGAGATTTTCTGAACAAGGCTCTTTTGTATGGCTACGTGTTTAAATCCCTTTCATTCTGCGTTTTCCAAAGAGTAGGGAAATTTCCGCTTGTGTCAGGGAATTTCTTTATAACTCAATTTGAAAGATTTGATTGAGTGGGCGGCAAGATGGGGGATAAGAATTCTAGAATTGGGGGTGGTTCTGGAATGGAGAGATTGCTCCTTGAAGGGAGGGATATCTGATGAAATATGACGTGTCGTAGATTAATTCGATTTGAAGAGATTATTAGCGATGGCTGAAAGCTTAGAGTCTTTAATATGCGTTTCGGCAAATGAAGCAGTTTGAAGTGTTCTAGAAAAAGGTGGTGCTCGAACCTTTCATAATTTGAAAATGTCTCCCCCCCCCCTTTATATTATAAAGTTTTTAAAACACTTAGTTTTGCATGTCAGTTACCATTCTTTGCTCTTTTGTGATAGATAATTAGTTTTGCATTAGCAGTAAAATGAGTACAGTATTATTAATTTTGGACAATACTCTGAAAGTGACTAAATTTCGATTTTATATTTTACAGATTCCAGTTTTAATATATTTGTTAAACTTGGTATCAAATTTCGAAGCTCAAATCAATTGAGTTTTAAAGATTTTACTTTCAAACTAAGAATGATTATACGGTCATTTTTCCATGTCCTTACAAGTTTTAAATATATTTACTTAGGCTTATGCATTAAAAAAGTAATAAGTGTTTTTAATTTTTTTTAACGTTTTTAGTAACATTAATGCATAATATTACAGTAAAATACTTGTGCTGTGACAGTTATAATTAATTCAAGATGCCTAATTTTGTTTTTAGAACTTCGATTTGTTTTCGTTTTGGATATCTTTTTTTACTCATTCAGATAAAAATGAGAGAAAATAGTTATTATAAACAAATGGGGGTCAACATAAAAATATTGTTTCCTTCCAAAATTCTTTTAACAGAATGGATTATTGAGAATAAAATGATATGTAAAAAATATAAACAATGGCATGGTACAACATTTAGACAGACGGACAATGAGTCCATGCTTCAAAGATTTAAAATTTGAAAGCAATGTAACATTTCTTCTAATGTTTTAAATTTTAGCTAATGTATCTAAATGTAAAAATCAGAAATATAAATGAAAGCATTGTAATTTATAATCATCATGGTATATATTTATAATTTATTATACCAATTATGTTACAGATTACTTGTTCAACTAATTCGTTAACTCGTTAACTATATTTATAACTATATATGATTTGTATTAAAGATTATTCGTTTAATGCAATAAAGCGATATTATATTATTTCAACGCAAAGAGTTTCGATTTATCATAGCTTCCCAAATTAACTTATTAATTACTATATGAATTTATTTCAACAATCATATTACTGTTTGCAACAACGCTTATTTGAGACGTACCAAGTATCCTTATTTGCATTAAAAAATTTAATTAGCATTATGTTAAAGTTCCATACATAATTGATGATACAAATATCTTTCTATAAATTAAATTAACTTAACATTAAAGTTAGTATAAATGTATAAATTTTTATGATCACTTTAAAATTAATGATAATGTTATCGACGATATCGTCTATACTTTGTGACATGCGAATCCCACATTTTTTTTTATCAAAAATATTCTAAAAAGTTCTAGAAAAAATGAATGTTTAATTGATAGATGTTCGTAAATACAGTCTATTTGTTCTATTTTATATGAACCTAACTGTTAAGAAACTGTTAATACATCTTAAGCTAGATTGCGTTATAAGTTAACTTCCTCGCGTGCTGCTTTTGACATGCTTGTTAAATTTTTTCATTAAATGCGTTAACTTTAAAACTTAAAACTATGATAAAGAAAGAAAAAAACAGCTTAAACAAAAGTTTTCTTTTAATTTGGTGGCGAGAGATGAAAGCTATTTTTTTAAATTTTATTTCCCAAGAAATAACTAAGTTAACGCTTTTCACTAGTTGTGTATAAATCTTAAAAGCAACAAAGTAAACATTTACAAAATAACAGTGTGTATTTTTAATTAAACTGAAAATAATTTAACTCATTTACAGCCATGCAAATCAATACAGTAGTGTACTTAAAGTTTAAATTATTTTTAAAGTTTACGGAAAGTTTTTCTTCTTCTTTACTTTACGTACTTGATTTGATTAAAGATTAAGTTATGACAAATTTGTAACAAACTCGAGTTGCTTTGTGAAATATTTTTATGGAGTGATATATAACTATTATAGAAATATATATTATATCTGGAACTGTTTATTTGTTTATTATAAAAATTTTTTAAAAACGAAATTTTTGGATACAATTTTATTTCTTCTTAGTAATTTATTTATTAGCTTCTATTGAAAGTAATAAAGACTTATTAACTTTGAAAATATCAAACGTTTTATACATCACTCTTGAAAAATTATTTTGCACATTTACCCATAATAAAATATATGGTTTTTAAGTTAACGATTTAAATTGAATCGTTTCCGAGTTTTGAATGTTATTTAAAATTCATTGTCTAATATCTCAGAGGGAAAAAAAACCCATTAGCACAGAGAAAAAATACCGCATAAATTACAATAATCTAGTAAAATTTACTGTTCTGCTGGCTCTATGGAAATACCAAAGATTTCAGTAATTTTAACCAATGCGCTGTGTAGATATCTTTTGTAAAATAAACTCTGAAATAAAGTTTTTATAATGTGTGTTAAAATTTGGTAAATGTGGTAAAATTTGGAAATTTTATCATGATAGCTCAAAGCATTGCACGAAAACCATCATTTGGATGAATTTTCTTTTCAGAATTTTTTTACTAAATGGTAGGTAATAACAAATATAATTTTGAAAACCAAAATTTCGTGTAAGCCGTTTCCATACGAACAAACAATTACCTAATGAATGTTAAAAAAAAGAAAAAAAATTCCAAGAAACTGATGTGGTAAGATTATAACTTGATTAAAAAAATGCAGTCTTGAAAATGGGCTCCTACTTTTGTGAGCTCGAAACATGTCGACTCTTATTTCTAATCTATATATTTGAAGAGAATGGAATTTTCTTTAAAGACGAAAATATCAAATGAATGGTTTAAATACAGCAGATTTTTTATTAAAAAGGATTACAGTTTTTTTTAAAATTCATAATTTGAAATATTATTAACATACAGTACGGTAATTTCAACTGAATTTTTTTCTCAGTGAAAAAAAAATGAGACGAAATATAATTAATAAGAAATATTAAAACCAATACTGCCAATCCGATTTTATCCAGATTGATTATTTCTCCAACCCAAGGATTCATTGAGTATGAAGGAAAAGAAGAAAAAAAGCGCAATTCTCTGCTAGAAAAATTACTTACATAGAACGTTAACGACTATGATGGTTTGGCCTGTGCCTTCAGAATTGGTTGCTTCACATTCGTATTGTCCAGCATCTTCCCTTCGGGAGTCCTTGATTTCCAGCAGGGGTCCTCTGGAAGTGACTCGGAGATTGATCTTGCCTCCCTCCCCCCTGATTGGAGTTGGGGGGATGGGGGATACCAAACCTTTCTTCCAAGTATAAGTGATCACACCGGGATGAGCTCTGGCCGTCAAATTAACGATCAACGTTTCTCCCTCGATGACGTCAAATTTCTCCAGGCTTGCTACCAGGAATTCTGGTTTATCTGATAAAAATATGATAGGAAGATAAAAATCAGGAGATATAGTGTTAGTTAAGACTTGTTATATATTTATTTAAAAAATTAAAACAAGTTGGATAAGTGTTAGTTATAAGGTTAAGTGAGAGGTAAAAATTAAGATCAAGAATTTTTTTTATTAGGTAAAAATCAGGTCATATTTATAAAATAAGATTTACTGCATATTTGTTGCAAAAGTTAAAAGAAATTACTCAGAGGAATATTTTTTGTTCCTTTGTTTCCTATTGCATGAGATTTGTTAACTGATCTTAGATACTTTTGTATCGTTAATTTAAAATGAGTTTCGCTCGCTGCTCAGCATCTTTTTTCTTCTAAAATAACATGTTTAGTCGTTGTTTAATAAGTCGTTTAGTTGGTGTACAACATGCTTTTGTCGAAATGTCTAAGTTTAAAAACGTTATATAAAACAAGGGGTTGCGTAAATGTTGCGACAAATTTCCGGGGGAGTTAATCCGCATCGATTTGCATAAATGCAACAAAAAATTTGTTCCCCAGCATTATTCATAAAGTAAGTGTTATTGAATTTGTTGTAAAAGTTAAAATTAAAGGAGCCATAGTTATGAAGTAAGATTTTTTTGTCTTACCTTATCGCTATAATTGAAATATACACTCATGGACAAAAAAATTAGTGCACCAAGAAGGAGTTGTCAAAATGAAACAAAATTTTGCGTAAGTAATGACTACTTTGATATAAGTAAATTATTAGAAAATCAAAGAAAAACGATAATCTTTGATTTTCTAATCATTTACTTATATCAAATTAGTCATTACGTTTTAAAATTTTGTTTCATTTTGACGAATCCTTCTTGGTACGCTAATTTTCTTGACCATGAGTGTACTTAGATATAGGCAATTAGATTAACTATAACATGAATTAAGATAATCACTTTAGAGTAATTTTCATCTTACCCTTAAATCCTTATGGAAAAAAATCATTGTGGCTTAACAAAAGTTGACCGATAATAAGTGGAAATTTTAATAAAATCATCTTTATTTTTTTACCCTTAACACCAGAAAACTTTCAAGCATGGAAATACATTTTATTTTATTTTTTGCAAAGCTGACCCAATTCTGAGTTTACGAATATCAAGGTCCAACTCCATAGCCTTGTAATTTTAAACTCAACCCAAAAAACAAGGGAGCTCCTGGATCAAGTATTGGGACAAACTAGTCTTCTAGGAATACATTTTGATTTAAGTAACTCGTATTTTGTTACACGTAGAAGAAAACCACTAAGCCTACTCACCTGACGGATGGCAAGGGGGCATTGAGGTCAGGAGTAGCCGGAGGATAAACATTTCCCCAAACAGCCACCACTGGGATTCGAACCTGTATTATCTCATTGGAAGGAGAAGGCTCTATTCCCTGAGTTACCGTTACTCTGTTTACCTCTATTAACATTTTCACGCACTAATAAAGGTGACTGGAGGACTTTTTGTATGTTTGCATCACTTTTTATCAGTTAAGCGCAGTCGTCATATTTGTCACTAACTCCCAAGGATGGGCTATGGCCTTGACTCTAACCCCTGATCCGTCCACCACTGAGGATATTTTACGTCAGGACTTTGATCGGTACTAGCCGGGAGTAGAATTCGCATCAACCAGCCACCACTTTGACTCAAACCGGAATAACCTCAAGGGTGAACCAGTGCGGTGTCTTGGGATATTCATCCACTTTTAGATGCACGTGGATAATTTTTTCAGAAAAATTTTTCCGCACATGCGCTGTATGAAGCAACTACTTCAATTACTCTTATCTGGCGCAGTTTTTATTATTATTTTTTTAATTTTAAAGCAATAATTTCGTTATCAGTTTAAAATTGATTCAAACGCTTTGTTTAATTTTTTTAAAATATTTAAGCTATAGCAAAAGTGGCACTAGACCTAGTATATATTTCGGATATTTACCAAAGGTCTAGGTCATACTAGGTCTGGTTAAGTGCCACTGCTCAATATACATTTGCCCGGTATATCCTACACTGATGTTTTTTTAAGGCCAAGCGCCATTGCCCGGTATTCATTTGCCCGGTATACCCTAAACTGATGTTTTTTTAAGGCCAAGTGCCACTTCCCGGAATACATTTGCCCGGTATACCCTACACTGATGTTTTTTTAAGGTCAAGTGCCACTGCCCGGTATACATTTGCTCGATACTCCAACCACTGATGTTTGTTCTAATCTATCGTCAGTAAGTATTAAAATATCGAATAAATATAATTATATCCAGGAATAAATTAATATGAAATCAGATGTAATAAATATTTCGGACATTCACCAAAGCGACTAATTTGATTGTCAACATTCACCGATGAAAGTCAACAACCACCGATTTCGGTCATTCACCGTAATATGCACATCATTTACATAATAACCTCATCAGGACAATTATTTCATACATTGCCAAAATAGCATCCGGCATTTCAAAAAATAAAAATAATTGGTTTTGTTGGCGATGATCTCGTAAGGCGATAAAGAATCATGCATAGTACAGGTAAGGAAGATATTAACCTCGAAGGAAAAGTGGATGGATAACCCAAGGAACCAGTGCACTATCTCCAGAGCAAAAGCGGTGTCCAGAGGATAATACCTGGTATACGGTCGAAAATAATATGGAACAGAGCTTACAACAGTAATTTTCTCGACAGTTAATGAACCTAAATATCTCTTAAATTGAAAAGTTATCAAAGAAACTCTTAAGATAGTACTCAAAAATAAATAGCTTAAAGTAAACAAAGTAAAACACAAATAAGCAGCTACCAATTCCAAAATTTAGCCTTGCATTCATGTTTAAACGCACTCTATTACAAAAAAGAAAAATATTGTAGTCAACTAAATTATCTACTTCAGGGGATTCCCAACTCAATTAAGAAATCTTAACTAAGTAAAACAACAGCTCTAAAAGATTTGATTCAATAAGCTGTTTGCATTATTCTTGTCTTTCACATTTCATGACAAAGGGAATCACGATCCATCTTGCTGGAGGTAACAAATACATTTTAGATGCGGTTAATTAGAATGTTTCTTCATTGGTACAAATAAGAAGCAAGCCACCACAAGCATAACAAAGCAGCCAAACAATTTTGCTGACGTAGTGCTTGCTCATAAAGTGTTATAAAACTAGAAACGTATGAAAGAATTGTAGAAAATTCAAAACGAGCTGATTGACTAAATGTCAGGTTGTTTTTATTTGTGTCCATACTCATTAAAGTACCAAAAGTAAAATATATCTTCCCAGCTTTGTACTCTAAATCTTTTTTCCTTAATGTGCATGTATATTATTTGAAAAAACAAATATCTTACAACCAGTAACAGAAGCTACGGCAGGTTGTTTCCCTCATCGTCGTAGCTACCAAAGCAGCGGAGCTGAAAGATTTTAACAAATTAGGTACTTCTGTTATTTATTCCTCGTAATTTTTATCTAATCGTTATTATCGTTATCGGAAATCTAATTGTTATTTATTTTCGTAATTTTTAGAGTAACATTTATTTAATTAGAGTGATTTAGTGATTTTTGGCAATTATTACTCTAAAAATTATGGCACATTAAGTAAGTTGTTCCCTCACATGATCCGATAAGAAGTACCGGCACTCAGTGTGCCAATAGTTTTTATCGTAATTTCATCTGGAATTTTTTATAGTGTAACAAAGACATTTAGTATCTTTCTTATTGATGTATTAAAAACAAAATCAAAAAGAAGACGTGATGTCTTCTTATTGATTTTGTTTTTTTCAAAATTCAGAGGAAAAGAATAACATCACAAGCATAACGAGAGAGTAAAAAACATTTGACCAATGTTTTTAGCGACGTTGAGCGAGCGTAATAACAGCAATCAACAAAAGGTAATTCCTTACTTCGTGAAATATTGCACAACTATAAACCGAATTGCAAATAAAAATGAGCTGTTTGACCAAATCTTAGTTTTCCCTTTTTCGTATTCATAGTGATTCATGTTCCCAATAAGCAAATTAAGAATAGGTATTTTCCAGCTATTTATTTCCAGATTTCCACGTATTCATGTTTTAAACATGTATCCATCTTATTTGGGAAAACAAAATACCTTATAGCCAGCGACAAAAGCTACGACAGGTAATTCTCCCCACCGTTAAGAAGTCGTAGCTATGCAAAACAGACGCGATGGAAGATTTGAATGAATCAGGAGTTTACATTATTTTTTTCTTTCTTCCTCAATGAAGTGTATTATGATCCATCTCGTCGGAGATAACAAAGACATTTGGGATGTGATTGATTGTCTTGGTTTTTATTTTGTTTTCCCAGGATGCAAAGGAGGAAGGAAAAACCGTCACAAGCATAACGAGGCGGGAAAAAATTGGACGATGCATTTTTCGTGTCAAACCATTTCTCAAACACTTCGAACTTCGTTTGTGGAACGGATTCGTGGTTTATGATTGATACTAGTATTCATAAATTGTGATGGTGGTAGTGTTAATGGCTTCTTCAGGTCTTTGGAGAAAAGTGTTTAGTAGGAGTGAGAGAATGTTGCGGATAAAGAATTTCTTGCCTTACGTATTGGGATATTTTTCTTGTAGATATTTGAAAGATGTGGATGACAAATGTATTTTTATTCCACGTGGATGCTCATGCAAGCAACTGCTAAACTGTTTGCCACTATATTATTTTCTATGTATTTATTTCTCTTACGCGGGCACCAACACGATTTCTCCATCTAAATTGGCAACATTGTAATAATCTATATTAATCCAATTTTCTAGGCTGTTTTTAGTAATAATTTAAGTACTGTTAAATAATTAATAATACCTGCTTATATTCATTTTGTTAGACTGTCCTAAGTAATAATTTAAGCAGTGTTGAGTGGTTAGTTACACGTTACGTATAATATTAAACATTTTTGTATTTATAAATATTTTTGTATTTATACAGAAATAAAAAAAATTAATAACAAAGCAATTATTTAAATTATTTTTTTTATCCTTTTTAAAATGACTGTAGATATTTAAAAGAAAATCGATGCAGTATTCACCTTATTCCTGCCGGAGGTTCTCTTTATTATCGGCAGATGGCAGTACAATAAGAGACGTTTATAACTTCCTCTTGATGATACGAATGCTTTGATTTACACTGATGTGCGTTGCTATGACGTCATAGGGGAATTGCAAGACTTCCGGTTTGATTTGTTTGGTGTTTTGGGATAGTGGGTCAATACTACCTTACCAATTATTGGTGAGGGAGCTTGCCTTTTTTGAGCTATAGCATATATATTATAACATACTAAAGGTGGCTGGAGAGGTGCATGAGGAAGTAGAAAAGCACGTAATGAAGCATTGGGATGAGTTTTTCATCTTATTTTGAAACAGAGATGAAAATATTTTTTATATTTCTGCTGACTACTACTCTACTTCTGTAGAATTCTGACTACTATGCTAAAATGTCTGGAACTTATTATTATGGTAGTTTGTGGGATTTAATGTGTGATGGACAGATTCTAAATTATTATTAAAATTTAATACAGGAAGAACTTTGACAATATCCCTGACCTCTTGAAAATAGTTAATATTAGATCTAAGTACTTCCGTATGGGCAAAGCTGCTGGCGGCAGCTAGTCTTATATAAAAGGCTTAAGGAGTGATTTTGATGGAATGATGACTAGTGGTTGACACAATTCTGATTATTAATTTGATACAACGCTTGATTAGTGGTTTTGATGCAATTGTGAAAAGAATACAATATTACTGAAAATATTTTGTTCTTCACAAACTCCTTAGAAATTATAGATTTTTAAACTTTCTTTTAAATTCAGAAATTGTTAAAAGTGATATAAAATGTTTGTTTTGCGATAAATACAGCTATTCTTACATAATAGGTTTAAAGAGTAATTTTGATGGAATTATGATTAGTGGTTGATATAATTCTGATTATTAATTTGATACAACGTTGCAATTGTGAAAAGAATGCAATACTACTGAAAATATTTTGTTTTTCACAAATTCCTTAGAAGTTATGGACTTTTAAACTTTCTTTTAAATTTAGAAATTGTTAAAAATAATATAAAATGTTTGTATTACGATAAATCAGGTAGATTCAAGTATTTCTACCTTTATGTGTGAGTTAGATGTAATTTTGAACCAAACATATAGCTCAGGGGTCAGATAAATTCGTCGTCATAAATGGATATTTTTTAATGGAATTAACGTGTATTTTGGCTGTATGGAAACACACATTGCGTGAAAAAACCTTGGAAAACTTCCAGGACAAAGGAACAAAAATTCTTGCTCCATCTATACTCTAAAACATTCCGGATCAAATTACGGTATAAAATAATAGCACTTTGGATGCATCATCTGTTAAATCTATGTCACCGTAAAATTCATTTTTACCTGAAAATATTATATCGTAATTTTTGTTTACAGTAATATTTATTTAAATTGAGTGATTCAATAATTTTACCGCAATTATTACGGCAAAAATTACGGTATATCAGATTTTTAGTTCTGAAACATGTTTCGGTAAAAATGGATTTAACGGTAAAAAGTACTGGCAGCCTGACTGGGTACAGGCATCCTACTTTTTCACAGTGTATCACTGGATATAGTTTTTGTCATCGTTGCAATTGGTTCAAACTTGGTAACAAATTTATTTTTTTATCTAAGACTAACTGAATATCCGTTCATCATTATTCATTAAAGCATATCTAATAAGTAAATTTGTATTAATTAACATTAGGCAATCAGACATGAAACTACAAGTTAGCGTAAACTTAGACAATAATAATATAAAATAATCTTAACATTTTTATAATAATTTTGCACAACACAGTATTTTTTATTATAAGATTAAGAAAAGAAATTCAGCGCTTGAAAAAAATATTAATTATATTTATTATCCTTCGGCACTGAAAACAATGTGTGGTTGTCTTTTTCCGATTTAGCGGCCTTTTATCTCTTGTTTTTTCTTTTTTTTTGTGACCAAATGCAGCCAAAAGGAAAAAAGAGTCGTTAAAGAACGTTGAATTCTAAATTAGCTGCCCGCTCACCACATGATAGTCAAGATTTAAAACAATCGACCACAATTTATCACAATTTCATATGAATATATGAATTTTTATTTTCCCCCCATCAAAATTTATCTGGTGTCTTTTTCTGTTCTTTACGAGCATAGCACTGATTATAATGTGACATTGCTATGCTTAATGTCTAAAAAATTTTAGATCACACTTTTCAGTTTCATTAAAAAATGTATATAATAACATTTAACTCGTTATTTTTTTACTCTGCTCGATAGAACAGTTTAATTTCGTTTTTATAAGATTTTTTTGTAACTATTCTTTAAAACCTTAATCAATAATTCCAAAACTAAAAACAAGAATTATTTTAAAGTATATACGAATGATACATTTAGAAATTACTTCAAAAGAAAAATAGATTATGCAATGGAAATTTACTTAAAATAGCTATCATAATTAAATATTGTATATTACCCTAACCTAAAGGCATTTTGTGTAACAAAACAACTCACTAACATAGTGCTGACACTCTTTTGAGAACATTGAAAACAAAACAAATTTCCCTAAAAAAAGTTGACCATATTCAAACTAATGACTTTTAGAGATTTAAATGAATCACTCAGTTTCCGTTCTTTATTTCTTTTGTAACAATATGTATTATAATCTTTCTCAAAGAGATAACAAAGACCTTTGCGTTGTGATTGATTATTTTGTTCTTACTTTGTTCTCTAAGGATACAAAACAGAAGAAAGTGAACACAGACTTAACGAGGCGTAGAAAATATGTGGATGTATTTTTCTTGTTCCACCATTTCTCATATACTTGGTTTGTGGAACAAATTCGTAATTTATCATCGATACGAGCATTCATAAGATATTTTTGGAGTAATGTTAATGACTCCTTTCAGCTAAGGGATTAGAATGTTTTCTTTTATTAAAAATCATAGGTAGATTAAATATTCAAAGGGGGATTTCAATGTTTATTTACTGATAAATGTATATTACAGAATAGAATTATGTAGGAAATTAGAATTGAAAGGACATGGAGCTAAATGCCCTTAGGTATTCAGAATTAATTTCGTAAAATATTTGCTTTTCAGCTTGTTAATATAGTGGTGGAGTCAGCTTTAATAATCCCTAAAGATTGCTTTTAAATTAGATTTATAAATTTAATTTTTTTCTCAAGAAATTATTTAAAAATATTGGTTTTTAAACCTTCAAACTTACAAAATATTACTGAAAAAAAAGTTGCTACGGTGATGGTTTATAACCTTAGCTATGTTAAATAAAAATTATGTTGTGGAGTTTGATTCGTAATGATTAAAAAATTGTTTTTCTAAAATTTATCCAGGGCAGCAGTTTGTTAATTATATGATTTTTTTTAATTATATGAGTTAGAGCCGTGGTGGCTCAGGAGATGAAGCACTCGTCTCCACATTAGGTTTCCCAGGTTCGAATTCCAGCGATGGCTGGTCAATACGAATTCTGAAGTCAGCTCGCACTGACTACAGTGCTGACATAAAATTTCCTCAGTGATAGACGGATTTTTGGTTAGAATCCCCCTGCCATCGGGCTAACCATGGAAAGTTTATCGTGGAATTCCTCTCCATGTACTGCAAACGCGGGTTAGTTAAAAATGTCCTCCACGAAGGCTACTTTATCTCAATGTTTGATCCAAGAGCTCCTTTTTCTTATGAATTAGGTTCAAAAATGCTAGTCTACGGAGTTGAACATTGTTAGTAGTAGACACAAAATTGTATTGGCTGTTCAACGCTGATTATAAATTATATGAATTACAAATATATAAATAAAGCCATTATCCCTTACAGAAAAGTTGAATTTAGTTTATTCACGTAAGCAGAAGATAAAACCCGAAATGTTTAACCGTAAAAAAATAGATCGTAACAATATTTGCTATTTGCTTTATAAATTAGAGAAATGCAAAATAAATAAACTAGGTTATACTTCTTTAGATTACAATTGTAGTTTTAAGTTGATAGGACTTAATAACGTTAAAGATGGAGTAAAAATTATTAAGAGTTATTATTCCCTTTTAATTATTTCTCAGATTTGAGACATTTTATTTACCTAGTATTTATAAAATAATCCAAATATTGATTAAAAATATAATGATTTGAAAGCTTAAAAGACAAGACTTTAGCTGCAATATCCCAATTGTTATAAAACTCTAATAAGCCAATTTACCAAAATAATTATAAATTTAAACTATGCTAAGGCTTACAAAATACTCGAAGCGTGACGCTTTCATGGACGCTTCTCTGAAGCACTTGATTGGTTGCTTGGCACGTGAAAACTGCTTCGTCATCTTTTGCGTAAACATTTAAATCCAGTCTACTGTGCGTTGATTTGCCACCATTCGTCGAGTCGGTTACCTCACTGTTGTACCCAGAATACACCTCACCATTTCGCCACCAGTGAAGAGTTGATTCTGGATTGCTGCTTCCTGAATCACACAGTATACTAACCTGAGTGCAAAAAATTGTAAGGTTCAAAAGAAAATAAAATTTATGTATTTTTTTTATATGAAAAATTAATAAGCACGTTCATTGCTTTATCAGATATCACATTATAGGGCTATAAGCGCATTATAGGGTATGAAAAATTAATAAATAAATTAATTATAAAATAATTATTGAGAATTTTAGAAAAAGTTGCAAACATGTATTAAAAAATACTAAATTTCTCATTTTTAGAGAAATAATAGCATCTAGAAATAGATAAACATTTAAATGAAAAATATAATTTTAAATTTAGCACTTTCTCCACTTTTTATTTTACGATTCACCAGCTATAAAATTTTAGTAGAAAAAATAAATATTTTGCACCATAGAACAAAAAGCAAGTAATTTAGTTTTGCAAAATAATAATTAAAATTGTTAAGTTGTGGTTTCTTTTGATTATATATTTTTCTTTTAGAAGTATTTTTCTAAATGAACTCTAATTCATTAAATGGGTCAATTTATAGTGGCTCCTTGCAAGAGTGACTTTAAAAATATACTGCAACTTATAATACATATGATGACGTTGAAACTATATATATATATATTTCTTTTATTAAAANTATATATATATCTTTAAAGGGCAAGAAACCATAACCAGCCATAAACTAAAGCGCCTAAATGCGTCTGATGATCGTATTGTGATTAATTAGAAATCATAAATAAATTTTTAAGAGTGACAAGAAAATATTAATGACAGTGAATGCGGACAGTCCAGTGCATGAGAAAATAAATTTTGTAATAATTGATAAGGGTATGAATTTGATGCTATAGTTACATAATTACACTAAGAGAAAAGTATGGACAAAACTCTGAGAATATGGTGAAGTTTTCCGTATTTCAAACACCACAAAGCTCGGTAATCAAAGAGTTCTTTGGTAATAACTTTGGTATTATTAACAATGAAATTTTGTTTTATAATGTGTGATAAAGTTTGATAAATGTAGTAAAATTGGGCAATTTTATAATAATACATTTCAGAATGTCATAAAAAGTGGTATTTATATTCCACAAAATTTATTTTTTAGTTTTGTATTATTTTTCTAAATGTGTGGTAATAAGAACTACGATTGGCATAACCAGAATTTCCCGTAAACCGCCGCTATAAAGGGAAAAATTACCAAACGAATGGCTTAAATATCGAGTATTTTGGTTTTATTAACAAAAAAACTATTTATTTATCTTTTATTTTATTTTATTTTTAACAGAAATACAGGAATGTATAGTAGTTTTAGCAGATGATTTTTTTCCTTCGTGAACGTATAGTACAGACTGTTTAGTTTTCTAACATAGCAAAATAGTCAATTAATTTATGAAACATAAGTTTAAAAATAAAGGAAAATGTGTTTAAATGAAAGTATCTCGGATGAACTTTAAAAATAATATTTCTGAGAAATGTTTCAAACTTTATAAATTACAATGTTTTTTTTTCTTTCTATTTCCTACTTTTTTGTGTTCCATTTTAGGAATAAAGCATGCTATATTTTAGTTTGTATAACTTTAAAAAATGTAATAACTGTTACATAAATTATTCTATGTAACCCTAATAGCCTGCAAGTGGACAAGATAATGATTTACAGTGTGCATTTCACAAATAAAAATACGCAAAAACTTGCTTCATATTCTATGAAATGTACGCATATTTTAAAAATGCATTAGCAAATAAAGATTAAATACACAAACTTTTAATTATAATTTACTTATTATACACGCATGCATGTATAATAATTAGCTGAAGTTTTTAGCTAAACTCTTAAAGTTAAAACAAAGTATATTTTTAAAAAAGATAGTTTAAAAATTATCAAGATAACTAAGTATTTTGTTTAATATCAAATGAGTTACAACACAATACAAATTATAGCCATGGAGTGAATTCATAAAATATTCTCTTAAATGCATAAATAAATAAATTTTCCAGCTAAACTATTGTCTTCAAAATTAAATTCATATAGTTTTATTTATTCCATTTTTGCGAGTACCTCATCTATAATAACTGTGAATGGTGGGTTTGTTGTGCAATGTAAAATAATTGCGCTGCAAAGATTTTATTCCACGATTTTTGTAAATGCAGTAAAAATAAAGTCCACTTAAGAGTCGTCATTTTTACTTTCGGCATCTTTTAATATGAAACTAACATCTTTAGTCACCAGTAGTAGCAAATTTTAATTATTTAACCGGAAAGCTTAAAAATGTTGCAAGAATTTCTTCCACTTGAAAGACTTTCTCAATTAATTATTAGTAAGAGGGAAGTCACTTGTCAAAAATACGAAAATGTACAAATTTCAACATTGTATGAACTTTCAAATGTTCAGTGTCTGTAGTTTAAATATTAATAATTCATCGTTGAATTTTTATTGCAAAAAAAGATGTTTATTTCAGAGTTAATTATTTTCAACTTATGAATAAGAGAGAACTGAAAATTTCTAACCTGCCATTATTAATATGCATTAAAGATGTAATGTGTGATTTTTTTTTCTGGTGAATGTATTATGAAGAATTAATTGATTTCAAAATGCATAATTAAGAATTAATGAATCATAAAGTAATGAAAATTAACTTAAAAATTCTTTACTTTACAGTGTTATAAGAACATGCAGTGCAACAAAAACGTGTATTGTAACAAAGACTGATTATAATTGCAAAGCTTTAAGCTTCAGTAGTTGATTATAGCTGTTTTTTTACTTTTTAAAGTTTTGAAAATACTTATTTCTTTCATTTAAATACATTTTGGAAGTGAAGAAAAACAGTCTATAACGGTTTAAAAAACTGATTTTTGCTTACAAGATATTTTGAAGTTAAATAATAAAATCTCAACAGAAAAAAAAAGTTCTGGAACCTTATTGTACTGTTTTGTAATAACATTTCTGCTAAAAATCAGAATTCTGGTAGTAAAAACCAAATATTACGGTCATTTAACCATTAGCTTAGTAATTTTTCCGTTCATACGGCAACGGTTTATTGGTTCTACAATGGTTAACGGTATACTATTGTTCAGATTACCACAAATTTAGTAAAAAATACAAAACTGAAAAGCAAATATAACCAAATAAATGATTTTTATGCCAAAGATATCATTATAAAAATAACAAATTTTTCCACAGTGACCAAGTTTTTTCACATATTGTAAAACCATAGTAAATTGTTAATTTTACCAAAATCATTTCCAAATCGCTTCTGTAAAAATTGCCGATAATTTTGATTTTTCTCATAAAGCCAGAAGCACGATTTAACATTCTTGTAGTTTTAACCATATATATTTTTACAGTGTAGTTATTACTTGATAAACTGAAGATATTTGCAAGATATTCACTTGATACTTACTAAATCACCACTCCTAGGCTTCTTTGGGGTTATTTTCATAGTAACAGAGGAAGGGGGAACTGTAAAATAGAAGAACAGTTACAAATAATATTAAATAACCTGATGCTTAAAAATTCTTAAGTAATATGCTTCAGCTATTGGATATTCCAAACTATATTTAACTTCACAAAATCCATGCATAGCATTTATAAAGCAATATTTTCTAGTTACAGGATGTTCCAAATTATATTTAACTTTACAAGTTATATCCGTATAACTTCTAAAGTAATATGCTTCACTTATAGGATGTTCCAAACTACATTTAACTTTACAAGCTTCATCCATACGATTTCTAAATATGTTTCTTTTAGAGGATGCTCAGAACAATATTCAACTTTACAAGTTTTATCTATACGATTTCTAAAGTATGTTCCAGTTACAGGATGTTCCAAACTATACTTAACTTTACTAGTTTTATGCTCACGATTCCTAAAGTATGTTTCAGTTACAGTATGCTCCAAATTATATTCAACTTTACAAGTTTGATCTATACGATTTCTAAACTAATATTTTTCAATTGCAAGATGTTCCAAACTATATTTAACTTTACAATTTTCAGCCATACGATTTCTTAAACAATATGTTTCAGCTATAGTGTGTTCAAAACTATATTTACCAACCTTACAAATTTCTCGCATACTACTATTTCTTTAGTTACAGGATATTCCAAACTGTAGTTACTAAATTTGCAATTTTATGCATACCATTTCTGAAGTAATATTATCCATTTGCAGGTGTTCTGAATTTGAGTGTTCGGTAACTATATTTACTAACTTTATAAATTTCATGCATATTATTAATTAATATGTTTCAGTTATAGGGTGATATAAACTATATCTACTATTTCATAAATTTCATGAATGCTATTTCTAAATTGGATTAAAATCTCTATGTGTGCTGCTTGAGCATTTAAAACTTCAATTTAGACAGTGAATATCTCTGGTACTCTTCTGTAATCTCAAAGTTACTTAAAAAGTAGATAAAATTTATGAGACTGCTTTTCCTAAAATCTTTATAACTAATGAATGCTTAGTAAAGATTAAAACTTTCAACAAAAATATTCAAAATTTCTCCCAAAACACGTATAAGCAATGCACGCTTATATATTTTTGGGCATGAATTTATCTAAAATATTTTTTAGTATTCGTAAGGATGAAGGGTTGAAAAAATTATTTTGCAAATGCATCCGGAAAGCGAGTTTAGGAATAATAAATGCTTGTTTGACATATGCAATATGAATTCATCGATAAGTGTCATGGTATTTTCATTAATTGGTTGTAAGTTTGCAAATAAAATGCATAGCCAAAGGAGATTCCGCGGCAACAAAAAATAATGAGTAACCTTATTGTACACTGAGACTTTTATCTGCCATAAAATATACTATAAATCCTTTTATTGAAAAAATGGATGTTTGATAATATTTTATATAAGTTCATCAGTAAATGTTATGGAACTTCCATTGAGTGCTCGTACGTTTGCAAATAAAATACATAATTAAAAGAAATAACGTTTCAATTAAAATATTGAGTAACTTTAGTGTATCATATGTACAAAAAGTTAAATGTTAATGCCTGTTATTGTAAAATGTAAAAGGTATGTTTGAATATATTTGATGCAAGTTCATCTGTAAATGTTACGGTACATATTTCATTGAGTGCTTGTAAGTTTGAAATTAAAATACATAATCAAAAAGAGAAATCTCTTGAAAGTTAAAATAATGTGTAACTTTAGTGTATCCTAAGAATTTTATCTGCACAAAAAATGTTAAAAAGCCTGTTTTCGGAAAAATGTATATTTCATATTATTTTATAAAAGTTCATTCATAAACGTTATTGTATTTCCATTGAGTACTTGTAAGTCTGAAAATAAAATACAGTTTAAATTAACCATAATTTTCCTTTTTTTTATCAGAATAGTCAATACCATACAACACGGTAGTTTTATGAGACTTTTTTCTTTGTGTATCGTGTCAAAAATCGTTGGATTAAGTTCGGTATGTATTTTTTCAAGTACTTTATTTTTATTTTTATTTTAAAAAATATGAAAAAAAACTTGATAAGATGTGTATACAAAGGGGGAGGGGGACTGAAATGTAAACTTTAAATTGTTTTTAAAAAACTTCAAATTATTTTTAAACATGTCAAAAACTGATGATATTTTGTTACAAAATAAGTTAAGCGATGGAACTCTTAAAGAATAATAGCAGCAATTATAGTTATGTAAACTTAAAAGCATCCTTCCTTTCACAATAGATATGTTAAACATTCTAGCTATATTCACGACAATATATATATATAGCTCAAAATGTAGAGAAAACATGGAAAATATACAGAAGAATGAAAAAAGGGAAAAAGAAAAATAATAATGAAAAAAAACGGAAAATAAGATATATAATCTTTTCATCAGCTCACACGATTATATCCACAAAAAAGAGCGCTTTCTAATATTGTATCAATGTAGCCAAAGCAAAATATATCAATACAATACAATAGTGTGAGGAGCGCTCAAGAAAATTTTACAAAAAATTTACAGCAAATAAAATAGAACACACTAAGTAAAAATATTAAGGAAAAATAATAATAAAAATAATAATTTGTTTTATTATTTTTATTATTATTTTTCTTTTTCCCTTTTTTCATTGTTCTGCAATTTTCCGTGTTTTCTCTACATATTGAACTTATTTTATGAGTTCAATTTGCTTGCAGCTTATGCGCAGTAATTAAAACTTACTGTTTTCCTTCATTTTCTTCATTTTTTTTCCTTTTTGTATTTATCTATTATGGTATATATATATATATATATATACAAATTAATTTTGGAACACTCTGTAAATATGTGCAAAAAAGTAAAATTCTTACAGTAAACTGTCAGTTTAATGTTTGCTATCAAGGGTCTCTCTGTGGCTGAATTAGTAGCTTCACATCTATAAACTGCACCGTTGTCACTGGCATCAACTCTCAAAACAAGCTCGCTGAACACTCCACTTCCACTGATACTTGTTATTGCTCTAATCTGCAAAATAAACTAAATTATTAAAGCAGCTTAAAAGGAATAACACTGAGTTCGTGTCGAGAGACTCAAAATAAGAGAACATCGCAAAATTAGAAAGAAAAAAAAAACGATCAATTTAAATACAAGTCTAAAAAAACTTTATAACGGTTCTAAATAAGTTTAAGACATATTTTAAGCATATTTATTTAGAACTTTCAGATTATTTTTCGAAAAGAAATCAAATTAATATGTAAACAAATAAATAAATGCTCTTAAATCAATAAATAATCATTGAGTATTTTATAAAATAAAATAAAGATCTTTGAAAGTTGCGGAGAGAGCGATTGCTTCAATTCTGTTTGGTAAATATACAACTCAAATGCACGACCATTGGTTATGTCATTTTGGATTTTTTGACTATGCTTCTATCGTCCTAAATCATTTCAGCTTGTTCAAATTTTTTTTGCAAAAATTATAAATTCATAATCATAGTTTTATTAATCGAATAATAGTTTATTATAATTTAATAACTTAAGGAACATAGATTATTCTAATCATATTAAGTTGCTATAAACTGCTTAACATTTTTAAATCAATGATTGAATCTAGATTCTGAGAGAAAGATGCTAAATAATTTCGAACACTGAGGAGAAAAGTATGGTCAAAACTATTAAAATGTAGTAAAATTTACCATGTTTCTGGCTCTATGGGAAAACCAAAAAGCTCGTCCACATTTTCAAAGAGCTTTAGTAATGGTTTTGATGAAATTAACAGTAAAATACAGTTTTATAGTATGTCACAAAATTTGGTAAGTGCGGTGGTGATAATTTTATCATGAAGCATAACGCAAAAACCGTTCATTCGGATAAATTTATTTCTCAGTTAAAAAAAAAAAACTTATTATGTTTTAATAAGAACTTTAAATTTGAAGAGAAGACGTACGTCTTTATCCTATAAACGGAAACATTACAAAATTAAAGGTTTAAATATGGTATATTTTAGTTTAATTTACCAGAATTATGTTATGTAGAATTATTTTTTTACCTGAAATATTATTACTACAATTTTACCAGAATTCTATTTTCTGTGTATTTTCGCTTAACCTGAATTTGAGTGGCTTATTAACTTATGAATTTTTTAACCACTTTGAAATGATTTTCTAAAGTAAAAATATATAAAATGATTTAACAAAATACATCTTAATACATCTTTTAAAAAAGATAACCTTTTTCACTAAATAAATTTTCTTTTATCTGCTGCATTAATTTTTTATTGAACAAAATGCCGCGAAGTTTTCTTAGTAATAAGTCTTCTGTTTAAAATTCATATTTTTTATTCATTAAACAGTTATCTGAATGTATTAATCGATAATAATTCCAATAAAAACTCAACTTGTTTGTCGAAAGAACAATAGAAAGGCATGGAAGAAATTTCTATAAATTTCGAAGTATGGCTGGAGATTTAAACATGACTTTTATGATTTGCAAATATTGATATTCCTTTTTATTTCTAACCTTAGTTCTAATTTTACCTATTTTTAACTGTGCAAATATTTTCTTATCCATATTACTTTGATTTTCAGAAAAAAAGCAATTTACAATAATTTATTGGTCTGTTTATTCTGCGTTTAATGGTAGAAAATCTATCAAAGTCAGTGTGTATGTATAATTTTATACATTATGATGTTAATATTTTTTTCACTGAGTTATTAAGTTAAACTGCGTAGAGTTCATCAGAATATATTTAAGCACAATTTATTGAGTTTCATAAGGGTTAATGCAAAAAAAAAGAAGGAAAAACTATTCACATTTTAATCTACTTTTAAAGATCTCCAAAGGTTTTGTAGTCGAAATGAAAATATTGTTCTATGAGAGCTAAAAAATCCCAACTTGAATATACAGCTAATTTGCATTTTCAAAGAATTAAATTTTCGATTGATTTAAATTTATTGGCTTATGACATAAAGCGTAATTAAGTTCGATTAATTATCAAAGGGATTTGTAACAATAGATAGCTGTGGATGCACGAATTAAAGTTATAAAATTGTTCTGACTGACATTAAAACAATAAAATTAATGAAAATATTGTTTTATGCGAGTTTAAAAAAACAATATGTGGAATATACAATGAATTTGCATTTTCACAGAATTAAATTTTCGATTGATTTAAATTTATTGTTATAAGATGTAAAGCGGAATTTAAGAAAAGTATACAATCAAGGGATTTTTTAACAAAAGATAAATCTCGATACACGAATAAAAACTATAAAACTATAGTTGAATTTTTTTTAATCTGTCATAAGTAAACCAGTTGCTTCTAACCGGAGCAAGGATTTTCCAATGCGTAGTAATTTTAAAGATATTAATGATACAATTGATAACTATGGTTACTCGAATTAAAACTATGAAATTACAGGTTTTCTTTGATATCTCATAAGTAAACCAGTTGTTTTTTTAGCGGTGGAAGGGATCTACCCAATGCGTAGTAATTTTGAAGATTATACGGATACAATTGGTAACTATGGTTACTCGAATTAAAACAATGAAATTACAGGTTTTCTTTGATATCTCATAAGTAAACCAGTTGTTTTTTCAGCGGTGGAAGGGATCTACCCAATGCGTAGTAATTTTAAAGATACTACGGATACAATTGGTAACTATGGTTACTCGAATTAAAACAATGAAATTACAGGTTTTCTTTAATATCTCATAAGTAAACCATTTGTTTTTTACCGGTGGAAGTGATTTATCCAATGTGTAGTAATTTTTAAGATACTACGGATACAATTGATAACTATGATTACTTGAATTAAAACTATGAAATCACAGGTTTTCTTTAATATCTCATAAGTAAACCATTTGTTTTTTACCGGTGGAAGTGATTTATCCAATGCGTAGTAATTTTAAAGATACTACGGATACAATTGATAACTATGGTTACTCGAATTGAAACTATGGAATTACAGGTTTTCTTTAATATCTCATAAGTAAACCATTTGTTTTTTACCGGTGGTTTAAGTGATTTATCCAATGTGTAGTAATTTTAAAGATACTACGGATACAATTGATAACTATGATTACTTGAATTAAAACTATGAAATCACAGGTTTTCTTTAATATCTCATAAGTAAACCAGTTGTTTTTTCAGCGGTGGTAGGGATTTACCCAATGCGTAGTAGTTTTAAAGATACTACGGATACAATTGATAACTATGGACACTCGAATTAAAACAATAAAAAGACTCAAAATAAGAGAACATCGNCTCTCAATTATATAAAAAAAAATATTTCTTTAACTCGGAACCTCATCGCAGTGCATCGTTTGAAATTGTTAACTAAAATGAAGAATAGACGATTAAAACTGAAATGACGAAATAAGCCGATAAGACTGTATGGTGTTCAAGGAGTTGGCGTCATACCTGGAATATACCAGGTTCAAATCCGTGTTTGGGGCATGGATGTAATTTTTCCAGCTGTTCTATCAGTCCTTGTGGAGTTGGTGTGGCATTAAACGGCTTGTGAGACCTTTGGAAAAGTGCTCAACAATAGCACCTGTTAGAAACCATGAGGGATTACGAGTGCAGCATGGTATTTTTTTATACTTTTTTTCTTTTGGAGAAAAATATAATGACCGAAAATTTATTCACTTTAGGCGAAATTTTTTTCCTTGAAGAACTTATGATAGTTGTGTCATCACTTTGATGAAATGTTAGCTCTGAACATCAACTAGGAAATGGTTATTTCATCAAAGAAGAAAAGACGATTTCGGAAAATTTAAGTTTTCATTTCTTACAATGTTTTTTTCTTCTTTTTTTGCATACTTTTTTAAAACATTAGAACATGAATTCAGGCTATGCTTTCCTGGTATCTCTGATGAAGAATTAAATATAGTTCTAGAACCTTTTAAGTCTGTAGAAAAAGTTCTTAGAATTTTTCAAGATTGATTTCTTTCATTAAAAATGATCTTCAGGTAAAAAAAAAAAAAAAAAAATTAAGAAAAATCTGTCACAAAATTTTTGCTTTTAATGCGCGAAAATTATCCGTAACTAGTAGAAATAGCTATCAGATCTGTTTTCATTTGGTTGACTTATTTTTCCGACTCAAGCTTATTAACTGAAAACGAAAACGACTTGAAGAAATAGCTTAGAAGTTGAATGTGATCTGTATTTCGCCATTACTTGCGCTATTCCATGCATCCAATCAAAAAGAAAAACAGTTCCAAGAAATCACAAGTTAGCAAAACAAAATTACTATAAAACAGCTTGTTTTTAAAAAAAGCTGTATTATTGATATGTTTGCTTAAATAATTATTTAGCTAATTTAAAAAAATATGAAAGTCTTGATATATCAAACTTTTCTAAGCTTTCGCTGTTTAATTTCAAAAACGCGTTAAGAAATGATCAAAATCTGAATAAATATAATATTTACAAGTTTTGTGTTTTCAAAGGGAGGAATCACGTTTTGTAATAATTAATGGAAAGCGGAATATGCCAAAATAGTACTTGAATCCTCAGTTTGGTAAATTATCGTGTTTATATGGTAACGGTTTCCCGGAAATTCTGTATTTCAAAATTATAGCTCTTATTACCACACATTTAGTGAAAAATGCAAAATGGAAAGCAAATTTAGCCGAAAAAATAGTTTTTATGTCATTAGCTCTAAATTATTATGATAAAATTACTAAATTAAACCCATTCTACTAAATTTTATCACATATTTTAAAACTACATTTTGTTGTTAATTTTATCAAAATCATTGCCAAAGCTCTTTTGCATAAATTACAGAGCTCCTTGGTGTTCCCATAATGCCAGAAACAATAATGTAAGTTTCACCATATTCTGGTAGTTTTGACCACACTTTCTTACTTAGTTTATTTTACTGACCTAATTATATAGTCGTTTTACTTTATTTTTCGAAAAACTATACTACTACTTTTAATTTAAGGCATTAAATAAATAACTATTAAAAGTTAAAGTAATATTTATGGTCCGAAATAAAAACAAAAATACTTTTATAATAATACACTCTTTACGAAACAAGGGATACACTGTAATTATTTGGTAAATATGTTCCCGTAAAGAGTCATAAACTTTCCAACAGATGGTTTTAATCGAGAAAATACCAGCACACTATGAACTCCTTTTCAAGCCATAAAATATATCTCTTCCATAAAATTCGTGAATTGGTGTCTAATATGTTGTAAAATGCGGTGTCTGCAAGAATTTTATTTTTTGTTGCAAATTTTGATACACACATGTTCGGAAAGCAGACGCATTTCGGTGTTAACAGCAATGTCGACATGGCATCGTTGTCTTCTCTCTATAAAGAACCCTTTCTTTTTCGATAAAAAAAAAGGATAGATGAAAGGTTTGTGGGATATACAAGGATCAAAGGATTATGTTGACGGTGATTGGGTGGCTCCGACCAGATTTTGTCCCGTATATGGTCTGAAAGAATCAACGAAATTATTGTTAGCTAACTAAGATGGAGGTAATCTTGTAAAGGAGGGCGTTTTTTTTTCTCTTTGCGAGCAAACTTGAATTAGTGAGCACGCTATTTTAGTATTCTCGGTTCCGATAAACATGTTTGGCCTAACTATTTACTCTTGTTCAACAGTAATGTCTTTTTATTATTTTAAATCTTAGTTATTATGACAAAATGTCGAGAAATAGTTTAGTTAATAGTTAAAATGCAAACGAAAATGATTTTAATTTTAAAATTTGTAAAAAAAAAACATAGAAAAATAATTTATATTTAATAACCAGTCTCAAAATAATGTAAATTTAATCACCCAACTAGTTTTAATGTAAATTTGATTTTGTTTAAACGAGCAGACTGTAAAAAATTTCGAATTAAATTACGGTAAAAATTACAGGGACTAATAAAGTACGGGTACTTTTATCCGCCAAATCCATTTTCACTGGAACATTATATGAAACAAAAAATCTGATACACTGTAATTTTTACTGTAATAATTACCGTAATGTCATTGAATCACTCTAATTAAATGAATTTTACTATAAAAATTACGGTTTAATATTCTACTGTAAAAAAAATGTCAAGACAAAATGGATTATCCACCCAAAGTGTACTTTGTACCGTATTCGATCTAGAATTTTTCACAGTTTATTACTTAAGTTCTATAAACAAGTTATGTTTAGATTGCTATTCCTTTTGATGAGTAATATAATTTTTTCAAATTAATATATATTACGAGTGGTTTTAGGAATATTTCCCTTTCGCAATTATTTAGTTTTATTTGATTCATCTATTGTATATTTTGAATTAGTAAAACGTTTAATGTGAAGTTAAAAAGTAAAGAGTAGGTAAAAATTTATGCCTTAATTTTTTTTTTTTTGCTTAATGCGTGTGATGGTTTACTTACATAAAAAATAAGCTTTAATCATTCATTAGAATAAGTAATTTTTTAATTTTGTTAACTAATTTATTTTAAAATTAGAAATTCTGAAAACATAATATCATAGTATTTTAAATGCAAGAAATCATTATGTTTTATTGTTCATCGCAAAAGAAAGATGCAAACCATAATATTATTAAGTTAAGGATTTAAATAAGGAAAAATGTAGTTAAGGAGGAATAAGATTTTGTAAATGACTTGTGTTTAGTATTTAAATTATTAAAATAGCTAATATATCAAATATAACCTCATTTAAAAAAATGTTTCTAATTATTATATTTGTTTTCATTAGTTATGAGTAACACGGGGCTAACAACTAAATCTTGAATTTTAGTTTCAGTTTATTTAGACATTTAAATAAAGCTTTAATGCTTACAGAGCTATAAACTTCAGTATAATGCTTTAATTTACTAAGGCTTTTCTTAAGTAACACTAATATTTACGCTAATTAAAATAAAACTTCGAATAAATCTTGTTTAAGTAAGTCTCTAAGTTTAACTTCAAATATATTAATGAAACAACAGGGGAGTTGCTTCTTAAACATGATAAATGTGCATGTTATTGAAGAAAACTCACTGAGAGAATTGTTTGAGTAAATTCGTTATTTTAATTGTGTTTGCTTTTCTTGCTTTATGATGGATTATAAATGTAAACAAGGATAATTTTTTGGAATTTAAATTACATTAATGAAGATGATTTAATCAATATTTCGAGTAAATAAATAAACGTAAGGGAAAGTATGGTAAGAACGGGTAGCTTTAGATTCGAAGGAGTAGTGGAGCTAAACCGTTTGACCTACAGACTGATTTAAACAAAATATTCATTGTTTAGTTGAGTAAAGTGCATCATTCCTGAAAAATCTTTTTTTATAAATGATTTTTTTCTAGAAAAAGTCAACCTAGTGGGTATAAGTTCGGGTACACACGTTAATTCTATGGAGAGTTTAGAAATGCAAGAGTTTCAGTGAAAAATTAGTTAGATTAATCTATTTTATTTGATAATTAAAATAAATTTTGCATGTAATTCACATGTAATTTACATGTGATCTACTTGAGGCCGTATTCAAAAGAGGGGCTTGTCCACACTGCTGAGGACATGTCCAAAATTTCTTACCAAAAATATAGAGTTTTAAATAATGAAAATAATAATTATTTTTTTTTAAAAAGAAAATAGCAGAAGTCTTTTTCATATCCATGTAAAAGCTGTGAAAAATCAATTGTTTTGATATTTTAATTTGAAAGAGAACAAAATTAACTAATTTTTCATTTTCAGCATTGATATCTAGGTTATGTCTGTTTAATTTGGATTAATTCTATTCTAATTTATTCATATCTTTTTCTTTTCATTTTAATTATTGGTATCCATGACGCCTTATATCTTATTTGCAATACTGATCTAAACTTATCTAATTTTTCATTTGTATCTAAGGCATTTTGTATCTGCTTGATTTATAGAGTTTTCCACTTTGTTGATTTCACAATTTTCATCTTAAGGTTTGACTTGGTATTTATAGCACTTTATATGCTGATTGCAATAGTTCAGAAGATTCAAATGTTCTCCACAAAAATAGTAACCATCTTTAGTTCCCTCTATCCACAACTTTTTAGAAAACTATCCGAATTTTTCTTCTATTTAATTTTTATATCTGTATTTTATATCTGTTTAATTTAAAAAGTTTCTAGCTTAATCTATTCCTGTTTCTTCCTGTTCATGAAAAGATGATCATAGATACCAAGCCTAAAGGTTTCGTATTTATGCAATACGTTTATTCACAATACGTTAATAATCTGAAATGTATTAAGCATAAAATTTAAACCATTTTAACCCACTTTTTGAATGATTTCGAATGTTTAATTTCCACAAACAAATTATTTGACTGTTAAATTTGAAAAAAAATTTCTTAACAAACGGAACTAAGTTTTCATTTTTATCTAGGGCATTATATGATTGCCTTATTTTTAGAGTTCCTAATCTAGCTGATTTTTTTTCAAGGTTTGGCTTGGTATATATTGCACTCTACATGCCATTTGCAATAGCTCAGAAAATATCAAATGTCCTCTGCAGAAATAGTTACCATCTTTAATTTCCTCGCCCGATAACTTATTAACTGACTACCCAATTTTTCGTCTGTATCTTTTATATCTAAAGCATTTTATTTCCTTTTGATTTAGAAAGTTTCTAATCTAATCGATTTCTTTACTTAAATAAATTGTTAAAAAAATATTAACTTTTTTTTACAGGTCTGGAAAGACTTTTATTCGCCAACTAATCACTTACCTCTCGATCCCTTTTAAACCATCGCAAAGTTGCAAGTGGATTTCCTCCAATGGCAACACAGGTGAACCTCTGAAAATCGCCAGATTTAATGGGAGTGCCTTCTTCATACCCGACGATCGAAGGTGGACTTGGAGGATCTGAGGAATAAAAGAAAATTCTAGAATAAATAAAGTAAAAGTATTCTTAGAATCCTTAGACATTTTCTAAGGTGAAAGAAAAAAAAACACTTAAGGAACCTATTGAAAGTATATATTGAAGGTAAAAATTAAACTCTTAAAAGGCTCGGAAGAATTGTTGAAATTCCATTTAACGTTATTGTGATTTTTTTTCTGTCAGAACATATTGGGGATTATGCAGATAAGTGGTAAATATTAGTTTATGCTATCTAAATTGTTTTTATGAAAACATATTGGAATTATGAAGATAAATGATAAATGCTAGCTTATGATTTCTAAATTGCTTTTATGAAAACTTATTGAGACTGTGAAGATAAGTGCTTAATGTTAGTTTATGTTTTCTAAATAAGAGAATTACTTTCAAAAGTTTCCGTAATTTTTAAAGTTATTATTTTATGGAGAAAAAATATGAAGTTTTCATTAGGTTATGTTATAAAAAAGAGAAAAGTATTATTATTTTTGAAGTATGCAATAAAAGTATATAGTGAGCTCCTAAATTGCTCGGAAATATTTATTAAAATTTCATTTAACTTTATTTTGTTCGAGTATATTTTAATTATGGAGTTACGTTTTCAATGTTTTCGAAAATATGAGAACTGCTTTCATAAACATTTTGTAGTCATTTATATGTGTTATTTCATTATAAATGGAGAATAAAATTATTATTAGCTTATTCTACATTAATACTAAAAATCTGGACTGAATTTGTGTTGATCTATTGTTGGAAACTTTCAATAAAATTTTTACACTTTCAAGATTCAATAAAATTTAATTTATAAATTACCTTTTAATGATTTCAAATTTTATACTATTCAATGTAATTAATACATATAAATATTTTTAAATATTGCAATTAGTTTTAAATTATAGAATGTAAATACATTCTATAATTTAACTCGGTTTTTTTAAATTTAACTCAAACATAAAGAAAATTTTTTATAGAACGTTTAAAGTTAAAGCTATGAATTTAACAGAAGCTAAATCACAAAATAATCTCCCTCAAATATCATATGCGATTTTATATTTAATACTTTTGCGCTTATTATCATCAAATACAGATGATATTTTGTGAACCGTTTAACATGTTTATTTAATGAAATGTATCATTTAAACCGCAAAAACTGTAAAGAAAATAAAAACATAGGCGACATTTTAGTTCGTAATATCTAGTAGAAATATCCTTCCGGTGACCGGCACTATTTTTTTGTTTATTTTCTGAATTTTTTATAATCTCTATGAATTCAATTTTATGTCCTTGATTGCTTAAACATTAAGCCTTTTTAAGTTAACAATTAGTTTTGTTTACTGAAATTTACTACAGTTTAAAAATTATTTCGGGTTATTAAACTATGTAAGATTTTTTTTTGCAAAAGAAGTATTAGAATCGTGGATTACATGGAAGAACTATCAGAACTATTGATTTTGAAACGAACTATTAGAGGTATGAATTCGAAAAAGGATCATTAAAATTATGGATTCTAGAAATAACAAATAGAACAATAAATTCCACAAAGAATTAGCGAAACAGTGAATTCCGAAAAGAATTAGTGAAGCAATGGATTCCGAAAAGAACTATTAAAGGAATAGAATTAATAAAAGATAAGAACTATTAAACGAATAGAAAAAATATATGTTCTTAAAAACATTGGATTCCGAATGAAGTTCCGAAAAAAACTATTAGAACACTGAATTTATTGAAAGTTAAATCACACATCTCTAACTAAAATTGTTGTTTTCAATTCCAAATTAAGTATTTTTGTATATCGTCCACAGCAGACGATTCCTCATAGCCTATTTAAAACGTTTATTTAATGGAACACAGAGTTTTAATCGCAAATAGTGAATATAAAAAAGGCGCATTATTTTAGTTCTTTTTCAATAACCCATAAAGAAGTCTTTTTCGATAAAGTTCTATGAGCTCCTAGGCTTTTCATAAAAAAAAACCTTTATCACAACTTTTCTTCGTCATACGATGCCAAGAAAGAAAATGGCGCTTGTTTCCAGATCATAAACTTGTAAATGTGGGTGTGTTCTCGATTTCTATCCCTGTTACCAGTAAGACTGTTTGCACATAATATCCTGTGTATAAAACTGCGTGAAAATGAAGTTATTGGTCGCACTGCAGGGAAACTGTTATTTTATATGAAATAAAATAACAGTTTTACCGACGCCATTAGGAAAAGGTTTTTGGGTAAAAGAAAACACCTTTTAGTGTCTTAGTTTGTTGGAATTACCAATATGATCTTGTTTATTATATTCTTTGATGGTATAGGAAGTAATACATTTTTATGTTCAGAGTTTATATTGAAATATACGATCGATCTTTAAATGCTGTTTTTAAGTTCTTAAAGCATTATGCGTTTTCGCTAACTATTTCAGATAGATAACAAGTTAATAAATTCAAACCTATATCCAAATAACAAATATATAAATAAAATAAATCCAGATTAGAACTGTTTAATTCAAAACTATTGAATTTATTTTCTCTAAGACGTATGGAATTAACTTTTGAAATCTCGCGTATACAACTAGCAAATCATTCTTTAAAAAAAATTATTAAAAGCAGAAGCATGAAATTGAAAATAAGCAGGAAATGGTTCTTTAATGTTAGACACGCAGTGTTGGTTACTTTGTAACTAAAAATGTAAATTAGAAGTAAAGAATTAGAAATATAAATTGTAGTTATTTATATAAATTAGAATTTAATTAAATACCGGTACGAAAATTGTTCTGATTAAGTTTCAAGTTAAAGAAACTTGAATTTGCGATAAATAGGGCAGAAAGCACTGGAAATAAGTGATTATATCTTGCCTCTACCCTATGATCGATTGATTAACGAGGAATTACAGGAATTGATGTCAGAGTAGTCCACGAGCAGTTGCAAAATATGAATAGCATGAATCAAACACGAATTTCCTTTCTTTATCACCTTTATTCAGAATGTATATCAAAAGAATTAGAATCCATAAACAGAAAACAAAGTAAGAATTATTGCAATTGTTTTACACTTCATACACAAGCTGGATTTCTTCTATTTTTAATTTTAATAGAAAATATCAAATTTACTGTAAAAAGTACAATGGCATTAAATACTAGCACATTGTGCAGTAATTTTACATTTTTTTACTCACTCTAATAGCTTATATCCCTTATACCTGTATATCGTGAAATTTCAGTCCTCATTGAAAATTTAATTATAGACTTAATGAAAGTATAAAAAGTTTTGTTGCGTGGTTACCACTGCAATTACTCAATTCCAAATCGCTAGTATATAAGACATGTTAACTCATTTCTAAATTGGTGCATCTTTCCATAGATGAAGGTTGGCAGTGACGATAACACAACCCACAATTTCTTATACACACACACATACAATATTCCTTTTTACTTGCAAAAGCCAATATACAGTTGTAACTATTTTTTCCATTCTTAATATAAATGATTCTTATTATACAAGCTAATCACTGAAAATTAGGAATAAGTTAAAGATTTCCTTAATTCTTGATCAGCGGAATTGTAATCAAATGCTTATAATGGAGTTGATTTTAATAAAATGTATCCTTTTTTTTCTAAAAATATTTCTTAAAAACTCATCTATTTAAAGTTATAAATTTTTTTCACTGCCTCTCATTCTATATCACATCATTTATTGCTTTCAAATCATTGTGTTTTTATAATGAAGGTGATTTAAAAAGGAGAATTTTTTTACATTACATTACTACATTTTGCATTCTTTTTACTTAGTTCATACTTTTTTAATTCTTATTTTACGTTTCATGTGTAAATAAATATAACTTTTCTGTTCTGTTGTTTTCTGTTAACTCATCTTGAACCTTGACACATGGAAGTGATATTACAGGATTATGTTTAAATTAATTTTTTACTATCACATAACGATTTCATTGAGAAGAAAACTTCTCGTCTGGTACAAAGAAACAAAATCTGTATTCTTTTATATAAATTTTTCCTGATCTTAAGTTTCAAGGGTGCCTGAGAAACTTCTAAATGCGAAGAAAAGGGAACAATCTGAATAACTTTTAATCTAATGATGGGCACTTCACGTTCAAGAACTCTTGGCTCTAGGGGGTGACCTCAAATATGATAATTAATAAGTGTAAATGATATTCCAACTAACGAAATCTGTCACAAACGTACTTTCTTTGAATAAACATACCCTTTTTCAACGGATTCGGATTTCTGACCCTAAAAATATACGGGGTAGCCGCAATCTGGGAAATAGGGTTCCAATAATTTGAACTGAACAACGGTCCAAATTTTGACCCCTTAATGTTAATTTTACTTTTTGCGTATTTCGCTACGTCTCGAAAACTTTTTAGGCGAATTAAAAAAAATTTGTACTCAATTTTAAAATTCGTTTACCCAATTATAATTACATGCAAAAATAAATTTCAGTAAATATTTGTAAGTTTTTTTATTATTTTATTAATTATTAATAATAGTTGAAAAATTTTAAAATGCAAGGTATACAATTTTTTACATCATTTAAAAAAAACATAATTTTTCATGGCAAAATACAAAATTTGTGCAAAATCTGTCAAATAGTACCTGAGAAATAGAGTTTCAAATATCTGACACCTTTAGCACTATACATAGCACACATTTTATTAGAGTATTCTTGTATTAATTTCATTCATGTAAGCTTTCTTTTATAGTACACTTAAACCAACACAAATTCACAAGTTTTTTTTAAAATTCAAATCCAAAGCATTCTTAACGTAAATTATTCTGCGACACACAATCTTAGCTTTAAGAATCGACTTTGGCTCATTCATCTTAAACCTTTATACATGAAAGTGATATCACAGGATCACATTTAAACTGGTTATATTAACATATCGATTTCTTCGGGTAGAAAACTCCTACGTTGATACAAAGAAACGAAATCTGTATTTTTTATAGCAATTTTTCCTGATTTTACGTTTCAAAAGTGCCAGAAAAAC